AACCTGATCAGGCTAGAAAATTTTTGACCTGGCCAGACTAAAGTTCTTAGCCTGGGTATGATTTAATACTAACATTTACCGTATTCAATTCTAAGAATAAGACGACTTCACGAATCGATGATGATTGCCTCTGATATTTTCTTTTGATCACTAACTAGGGAACATTCCCAGGTGTCGGAACGCTTTTCAGTCGGGACTTAGAGCATCTTGTAGATCTTAGTAAGCTGTGTCTACAGTAAAAAGAGTTCGGGTTTCTGGCTTGTTTCTGAGAAGATCGAACATATTTAGTGAATTTCCACTATAGAGCCTGACATTTACAACAAGGCCAGACTGTCGAATTTTGATCTGAAACTTTGGCCACATAAAGATGTCTTCTAGACTAGTTTGCATAAAAAGTTTCAGAATTTTTGGGCTACGTCTCCCTGAGATATGGAGCCCTCAAGGTATAAGACGTTTTTGATAGGTAATATATATGGTATGTAATTTTTGAAGGCTTCATATCTCAGAGAGACGTAGCCCAAAAGTTCTGAAACTTTTTATGCAAACTAGTCTAGATGACATCTTTATGTGGTCAAAGTTTCAGATCAAAATTCGACAATCTGGCCTTGTTGCAAATGTCAGGCTCTATAGTGGAAATTCACTAAATATGTTCGATCTTCTCAGAAACAAGCCAGAAACCCGAACTTTTTTTACTGTAGACACAGCTCACTAAGATCTACAAGATGCTCTAAGTAGCTACAATTATTTCTAGCACTTTTTATGCTAAAACTATTTAAAATTCTTCTTACTTATTCAATCTTATACTAAAGAAGATCGTGTTATTCGGTTAAAGAGTTGCATGGTTCCAAGAGCTGGTCTAAACTACAATCGAATTCAGAGTTTCGTTTAATGAAAATGATGGAGAATTAATTTCGAGAAGTTCTCATTCGTATGTATTTGAGATTGAAGATACCTTACATATCAGCAAGTATTCAAGATAATCGATACTTTTCATATCTACGTAGTTATAACTTTATTTCAAAAAAAATTCAAATATCTCCACATAAATTCCTAAATTTCAACATCTACTTGATTGACTACATGTTTGAAAGTGTTTCATTTCAGAACTCAGGTCCTTATTCATATGTCAAAGATTTTCATAAAATTGATTCATGAATGCTCTTCGTTGAGAATTGCCATACTACATTCTATTACTCTCATGAAAACAAGTCGGATCACAAATTGAAANAGTCGGATCACAAATTGAAATGTATACAATAGATTAATTGTAATTTGTAAATTTCATAATAATAAAAAGTCTGAAACATTAGTTCACCTGGCTGGGCCTGCAGGTCAGGCTGAAAAGAAAATGGCCTGTTGACACCTCTGCTTTGGAATATTCGGAGAGTTTCAGCCGAAAAGAATGTTTTCTTGTCGAGATATTTCATTTTTAAAAAATAATCACTTGCCACAGACGCATTACAAAAATACTTGAATATTTTTTTTTTTTGGCTCAAACTTTCAGGATATTGTATGGATCATCTGATTTATCTACTTTTTTCTCTTTTATTTATCAGTGTACAATACCTAAAATTCTGTAAAACGATCACCAATCAGTTCCAAATGTCCATATGAATGAACCGTTTTAGATTTTTTTTCTAATCTCACTAAGATGTCCTTGTGAACTAAATATGAACTCAAACATTGGATATCAGTTCTGGTAGTTCCATTGTTAGTACGAAAATGTCTTGTCTTGAATTAGAATTAATTGATATCTTTCTGATTCGATCTTTGATAGAATATTCAAAGATTTATTTGCAAAATTAATACTATTTCAACATCTAAAGTAAAGATAAGATTAACTTTTGTATGCTAGATTAACATGTTGACAAGAAAAACAACATATTAATAGTTTCAAAAGAGCATTTATGATTTATCGTACAACCTTCATAGGTTTTTGCTTTTGTTTTCTATCTTTTAGTCAACAACAATTAAAAGATCTTGAACAAGAATATGGTTTAATTATTCAAAAAGATTTCGATGAAATAACTTATCAAATTGATAAATATCTTCATAAACAACAACAAACATATAAAAAATTACGTGAACTTATACTTCCATCAATATCACGATCTTAAACGATGTTCTTTTTTTGTGTGTATATATGTTTAATTTCTATTTTTTTCTTTCTTGCATTAGAGATAAATGAAAGAAAAATAAATTTCGTATAAATTACAACATTTTTACACGATGTAATAATTCATCAATGAATTCCTATAAAATATATGATAATGATTGATTAATCACTTTATAAATATTTACCATTGTTATTGATCGTGATTGTTTCACATTTCTCAATTTTTCCTACATAATATTCAGATATTCATGTTTATTAGATTGAATAATAATAATAAAAAAAAAACTCTTACGATAAGAAATCTACGTCGTTTTGATTCATTGTCCATGTCTAAGAGACAATCAATTAAATCTTCGGGACATTGATCATGATCTTCTTGTGAACTATTATCCTAAAAATATGATATTAATTAATGAACTTTTGTTTTTTTTTTTGTTTGAATTTACTTTAATATCATAAAGAAATCGTAATTGATCATCAAGCCAAAATTCAACTTTTAATCGTTTACGTATTAATTGCATTTGTTGTTGAGGATATTTTCTAAAATTTAAAATATACCAACAACTATTCAAAGTATTCAAATATACATTTATATTTACGCAGTAAGATATTTTTCACGTTCATCAAATGTTTGTGATGTCGATGTTAAATCATTAAAACGAACACAACCATTTATTGATGATGTTGCTTTAGTTGTTGATGATGAAGTATTAAGATGATCTCGTAGGTTAGATGATGATTCTGTTGCGGAATAAAATGGACGTTTCATATAATTCATATCTATGAATAATATTATTCAATAAATGATCTTAAAAAAAGAAAACATAAGACTAGATTCAATGACCTCGATTTATAAACCCAGCTATGAACATGTCAAATACTGACGTACACATATTTGAAGAGTAGAGTAAGCACGTAGCTTGCTTGCTTACTGTCGGTCTATTATAATAAAACATCATCAGTCACAAAAAAAGAGAAAAAGAGAACGGTAGGATTGTATTATATGTGCTCGATCTGAATACACAGACATAAATAGTACAAAATGAGAACGAAAGATGGAGAGAAATGAGAAGGCGAAGAAGAAAATAGTTACATATAATTTTTCTTTTTGTATGTATTCATTCTTTATAAATCATAGTAATGAAATCAAGTTTATGTCGAGACATAAGCACATATTTGTACTCTTCAATTACACTTTTGTTATTTTTTCTACTTATTTTCTTTCAATTAAAAATGTTAAATTAATAATTCTCTGTAGAGAATATTTTTATTAGAAATAAGAATAACATAATTATGTCATGTTTCCTCTTTGATTATTACTGACAATGACATTACCATTGTTGTTATTATTAATAGTATAGAAAATCATATAATCGAAGGATTTTTCTGAATCAATTACTTTTTGTTATTTAACGTTATTCATAGTAATTAATGATGAGTAACAAGTATATAAAGCTTGATAGAATAAAAATCATATATGTCTTATTTTCAATTTATTCAAAAGAAAAATTACGAAACACACATCCATAAGAAGAAAAAATCTTACGGCAAGCAAAATTTATTATTCATTTCTAGTACAATCATAAATATGTAAAGCAATCAATCAAATGAATCCATAATATTTATAATATTCAATCATTTATTAATATATATTTTGGGTGGGTGTGGGTGCAGGATGTCGATGGGGGTTTAGGGGGCTGGTGTCGGTACTTAAGGGAGTTGTGTAGTGTAGACAGTTATAACCAACACGGGTTTCCTCCGCTGTCCTCATCACAGCAACTGCTACGCTTAAATCCGCAATAAAACTCAAATTCGACACCCATACTCCAAACCCTAAACCATGCAGATGCCCTCTAAACTCAAAATCTGCACATAAACTCTAAACTTTGTTGCAATGATTTGTCCTAGCGTCTTCATCTGCATATAACGAACAATCAATGACGATAAGTAACTTTCAAGTGGTTTTCATTTTATATTTTATACAATCATAAGAATTTATTAAAGATATTATTAAAATGGGTCTAAAATTTCTTGAATTTGTTAAACTATTCTGTCCACTTGTACTAGAAATTCAAAACCTGTTCGTAAAATTCAATTTCGTGAAAAATTTTCATGGACAGTTATAACATTATCTATATTTTGGTTTGTTATCCAATTCCACTTTTTGATATTATGTCATCGGATTCAGTTGATCCATTTTATTGGTAAATAATCAAGCGAAAAAAAGAATTTTTTATTTGATTTTTCTATATAGGATTCGAGTTATTCTAGCATCGAATCGTGGTACATTAATGAAATTAGTTATATAATCAATAGTTACATCAGATCATATTATGCAATCATTAGCGTGTGCAACAATAATTGAAGTTGGTGATACACCTCAAGGTCGTGCTCTATTTAATGATGTGGAAAAACTGTGAAATAGTTATTACTATTGTTTATGTTACGATTGGCATATAAGTTTATCAGAACTTATAGAGAACGATACATTATTATGTCCCAAAAAAACGGTATGGTAATAGATCGGAAATCGGTGCTACTGTCTATCTTTTAATTATAATTCAAGTATTTGTTGCTGGTCTTATTGTTTTATTACTTGATGCATTATTTATTTGAAAAATTTTATGGTCTTGGTTCTGGTATATCATTATTTATTGCAACAATTATTTGGAAAGCATTTAGTCCAGCTATAATTAATACTGAACGTGATACTGAATTTGAAAGTGGTATTATAGCTTTATTTTATTTATTAGCAACAAGACATAATAAAGTTTGAGCATTGCACGAATCATTTTATCATCAAAATTTGCCCAATTTAATGAATTTACTTGCTACTGTACTTGTCTTTGCCATTATTATTTACTTCCAGATATATGAAAAAAAAAACCAGATTCTTGAGTTTTTCTTTAGATGAGTATGGTTTGAATTGATTAGGATTTTCATGTTGATTTAGTAATAAAATCAGCTCTTGTTTCTAATTTAGATGTTATATCTCAAATGTTATCAACAAAATTTTCTGGAAATTTCTTTATTAGTTTAGTAGGTGTTTGGCCTAATAATGAACCAAAAACTTTCATATCCTATTGGTAATTTATGTTATTATTTATCACTGTCAGAATCATGTCCAGCTACATTAACAGATCTTATACATGCTATGCTTTGTATTGTATTTACGCTTGATTCATGTGCATTTTTCTCGAAAACATGAATTAAAATATTAGGTGAAGAATAGGAAAGATGTTGTTAAACAAAATCGACACATTCCAACAGCAGCTGCTTTTGGTGATTTATGTATCGGTGCATTGTCGGTATTAACCGATCTTCTTGGTGCCATTAGTTACGGTAGTGATATTTTATTCGCTATTACTATTATTTATCAATACTTTGAAATATTTGTCAAAGAAAAGAATGAACTTGGTAGCATGGATACACTTCTATTCTAAAAGAAAATGTTTTTAACTCTTGTCGGTAGATTTATTTTTTATTCTCTTTGTCTTATTAATGTTGTATTTTGTTTACTTGTTGTGTAACCTAAGCAAGAAAGACAAAAATTTTCCTTCTATTTCTTTTTTTGTTCTGTGAACGATGGAATGAGAGAGAAAAAGAACATTTAGATTTGTTTTGAGATGATTATAAAATATCAGTTTCTAGTTGATAAAACCTTTTTTTCTATTGTTTTTAAATGTTCTGCTTCTTTCTTGTTTCTTCTTATTGTTATATCGTTGTTGTTTTTACTCTAAGTTGACTTGTTTTGTGACAATATGATGCTTGAAAGAAAAACGATATATCAGAAACAAAACGACATAATATGTTATTGAGTATATAAACGACGATTTTTCTTTATTAGATAAGGACGAATAGTTTGTATGACTGTATCAAAAGAAGGTAAAGGGTATAACATTACTATATACTTAAAAAGTTTCAGCATTTTTGAGTTTCTTTACATTTGAATTTTATGGTTTATTATCAACTAACACTTTTCTGTCTCTTTCTTGTACTTCATACACTGAATCATATTTAAAATTGATAAATGATACAAAACAGGGCTGGCCCGACTATCGAAACTTTGGGGTTTGTAAGTGGAATTTTTCGACATAAGTAGTGTGTGAAAAAAGAAATTCCCATAGAGTATGACATAATGATTATTTTCTCTTGAGATTTTGGTTAGGTGAAAAAGAAAATTTCTTAAATATTGAGGGGTTGTCACAATTCCCACAACCCCCCGTGGTCAGACCAGCCCTGATACAAAAAGCCATTTTAGAATAATAAATATTTATTTTATCTACATAGATTAAAGTATAATAAAAAATATACAAATCCATATCCACTCATATTATGATATAACATCTTCCTCTCTGTTCAAAGAAAATCTAACTTATAAATCAACATTCACATATATATAAATAGCGGAGTTTTTAAAACGCATTTGTTATGATATATATTTTTTTTTTTTTACTTCTTCCTCAGTTTAAAAGGTTTTGCAATTTATAAGACTAATCACTGAAACACAACACATATTTTCATTTGTTCATAAATACGTATATAAATAAATGATATATATTCATAAAGTTGATGAAATTATTTATTTTAACAATAACGAAAATAAAATTGAAAAAATGATTTAACATCATTAGATGTGGACTTGAATAAAAAGGAACAAAATAACGCTCAAAATAGCAATCTTTGACATGTACATCACGCGTACCAACGTGATACAATACTTACTCTCCCACAGAGAGAACCAGTAATCAAAAAATGGGTTTGCTATGAAAAAAAGGAACCTCCTTTGTATCCAAAGCAGAACTATTTTTTTCTTTTTCTCATTCTTATATAAAATTCTTCAAAGTTATTCCAGTTTTTGGTTTAGATACTTGAAAATCCCGATATTTTTATTTAATTAAATAAATATTTAATCGATTAAAATTTTTATGTGTTCAATTTTTTCTAAATGAAAAAAATAGGGTTGTTTTAGTGTTTTATTTATTTTTATATACCGTGGAATAAATTGAATGTAATTATGATTTAAATCCATTTGAAAAAGTGCGATTTTTTTAATTTCCTTACTTTATTATTTATCACATCATTTTGTGTTGTTATGATCGTTTATCTAATATCACATTGATAATTCTAAACAAAGCGAGTTTGAGTTTTTTTCAGAGAAAAAAGAGCTATTTTGTACTATCAGGATGTGGTCACCGTTTAAGGGAAACTACGAATTAAGGGAAATAATGTGAAACAGAATGGAGGCCACAATAAATCCATGATGACGGACCAATAGGATTCAGCCACTCTAAAAAATGCCATGCGTCTTACAAGACGGTGCATCCAGCTATGTCTAGTTTAGACACATGTTAGACGTCTGATATGTCTTATTCTTGAGACGCTTCAATTTATTTAGACACTGGTACAATACATATGTAGAAATCTCTAATAAAAACTTATGGTAGATCAAACGTTTTTTATCTGTAGTGTTGACAAAATACGGGACAAGTAATTGTCAAGTGGATCAGTGGACTGAGCAAATCTTTCTTTCTTCCTCTATTCGAGATTTCATGAAGATGATCTTTTCTAAATGTAACCCATAAGCGCACGACTTGGTAGCCATGTAATTGCCTTTTGAAATATTTATTCTATGATTGTAAAGAAAAAATGAGCCAGAACGACAGATCCGCTTATTTGATCGTATTGAAGAAGCTGTGAGTTTTAGTTGGATCCTATGAGTCTTGAACAATTTGAACATTCCCAGAGTACAGGATTCTGATAGTCAGATTTGGTTGTCGGAAAGCGGCGAAACTACAGCGAATACTGATGAAATCCATTGTTAGAATTCAGTACCAAAAATTCCGACAATTTTCGACAGGATTCTGTCGGAACTAATAGGATCCTATCGGATCTGGCTGGAAAGGTCTGATCTGAGAATGTCATTTGCTTACAATGATTTTTTCGCTTCAGTTTTCGTACGTTGTTTTCTGGGTTTCTACAAAGATTTGGAAAGTATTACTTTAGGAAAGATAGATCCATATATGTCAAACTTGAAACTTGAATTCAATTGAAATTTCAACTTTCAACTGAAATTTCAAATTTCCAGTTTCAACTTTCAAGTTTCAACTTTCAACTTTCAACTTTCAACTTTCAAGTTTCAACTTTCAACTTTCAACTTTCAACTTTCAAGCGTCAAATGAGCAGCACTTTGCAGAATCACCACTAACCCGCATCCTCACACACACACATCATCGCAGCTGGTGCGGGTGCGGCGAAAGAACTGGTCAGAAAAGAACTGGCCACGAAACGACACACATCACATCGTACCTGGTGAGGGTGCTGCGAAAGGACTGGCCAGAAAAGGACTGGCCACGAAACGACACACATCACATCGCACCTGGTGAGGGTGCTGCGA